GATTCTTAACCGTTTATCACAAATCGGGTGAAACTGGCGAAATAAATGAATTAAAGGTGCCCTCAAACCATAGAGATAACTAGTAGGAGGAGAAAATACGAGACAAACTTCGTCTGCATCATCTGATTGGTTGGTGGCTTTTGACGAACCTCCGGTTACTGCTCGTGCTCATGAACACATTTCAATATTTCAGCCGAAAGAGAAGAAAAAGGATGATGGTTTACATCCGGGTATCATCGCTGCTCTGGTAATTCTGTCTGTAGCCCTTGTGGCTGTCATCGTTGCTTTTATCGTCTGGAAGTGTTGTGTTGTTCCCAAAACCAAAACACATGGTAAGTTGAGATATAGTTTCATCCTGAGGAATCGCGCTTCTCTATGGGGCAGATTTAACAAACCTGAATTCCTGAACAGAATAAAGGTACAACGTTTTTAATGATTCTGGATTAACATAAAGTGGACTGCTCAGGTTTATTTTTAGAATCGTTTCCGGATGTACAAATGCCCTTTCTTTCATTAACTTATTATTTTATTTATTTCAGATTCCAGTCGTCAAGGAAAATATGTTGGATACCCCAACATCCTCTCTGCTGAAGACACGTTGTTCTCGGAGAAATCATTCCTCGGGCTGAGTGGAAGTAGCGCATCGACACCAGTGCCACCTGTCGACACTTCGTACACTCTTCCTCTCGATAGACATAACCATAACCTCAAGTTCAAATTGTAAACTTAATATTTTTTCATTGTGATGAAACAGAAAACGAAGAATTTTGTAAACCTTACTTTGTAGACCTTTTTACTATGACGGATCATGAAACGAAGTATTTTAGATGTTGATTTGATTTTAAGATTTATTTGTATGCTTTCATTCACATTAGGCCCAATTTGGTTTTATGCTATGATTTTGCGCAGTCACTTTCTTGTGTGACGTTCGAGATTAGGTAGAAAGATATAAATTGAAAGTAGATATTCTCGATTGTCAAACATGAAAATAACAGTAAGTTGAGAATATAATGTAGCCTAGATTATCAAACGGGAATAATTTTAATTAGAAGTGTTTATTCTCGGTTATCACACATCCATAGATTAATATTATTTGAAGGTTATGGCCAATGTTATTTTTTGAAAATGATGTGCTTTATAGCTTGGATTCGGGCCAGAATATTGCATCTACCCTAATGCTCGTTGACGCTTTTTAAATAGAGCCCGTATTGCACAAATCAAATCATTTCATTTACTTAATGTTATTGAACGCTTACACAAAATTATTTATGCATTTTAAATGAACTCTGTTGAACACACACCTGTGATAGAGAACTGTGAAAACTATCGTTGGTTTTTGACAAAAATTTCACATTAACTCAAAAAATCAAACTTTTTCAAGTGCTATTCGTTTTAGGTATATATATAGCCTTATTGTGTATGTTTATTCAAATATTGTATATATTATTGTTCTTATATTTTTGTCTTTTTATAAAATATTTCGCTTTTAAGCACACTTTTGAAATAATTTACTGGCAAATATCATCTGTGTAAAATGTCTCATTTAATGAAATTTGATGCACGTAATTTGATGGACAGTTTTAAAAATAAAAAAGGCCACTTACGAAGTATTTACGTTTTGTTATTTTCTGTCCTTTTTGAATTTAAGGAATAAATTTACGACACTTTATCGAAAAATAAATTAAATATGAACATTTTTGTTCTAATTTTCGTCAATAATTTTTGATAAACAATTTACAAATTTGTAATCGAATAATAGCAAAATCTTGAAATGAAAAAATTGTAAATTTTCTCAAATTCTAGTGCCTATAATAAATAAGATTCCGTCCAAATTTTTATAAAAAATATTTTATTGTTAAAGATAAATTTCTTAATTTTAAGATTGTTAAATATTTTAGGAAAATTGTAAAATTTTTGTAATAATATTATAATATTTGGAGTAAAATGTAAAAAATGAAAATGTAGCAAAAAGAGTCTTTATTACAATTCAGACTGTTGATATTGATAATGTTCTTTAAAAAAATTGTACTTAATCCATTTATGTCGAAAATACGACTTGTTAAAAAAAGAAAATTATTTTTGTGATAATTTTTGTGATATTTTAGATATTTAATCAACTTAGTGGAAAATTGTTTGTAAACCAGTATAACAATTTTCTTAACCAAATTTTCAAATTCAACTGTTAAGACATTTTGGTGCAAATTTCATTTTCAACGATTTTAATCGGTTGATTAAGTTCTTATTTTTATGAGTAAATTTCTAAGTTTAAGTACGCTGTGAACATTTAACGACAGTCCAATATTGAATATTATTGTTGTAAATTTCGGAGATATCAACAATTTTCCAAGTTCTATTAAATCTGTGATATTTTTTGTATTTATATAATATTTATGATATAAATGTTTCTGCAATTTGAAAGCATTGTTGTTTCCTTCCGATTCCATTTTGTCCATTATTTCAACACGCTTCCATACAATAAGTGATGCAGGTCAAAGAGACTGACGTGAATGTCTAAGGGATGAGATGGATCAATAAACCGAGGCTCCGAGGGTTCTATGCTGAGCACTCCAAAAATTCCGTCGATGTTTGAATAAAGACCAGAATAACATAATGTTCTGCCATTGTCTTTACAAACCTTCCTCCATTGCACACGGCATTTTTCTTTGACAAAAACTTTGTAGAAAAATAAGACGTGAATCAAGTCACTCCTCATTCTCAAACTGTCGAATTAAATGTAGTGCAATAGAAACTGCATGGTTTTGTAGGGTTTAAACAAACCAAATGAAAGAAAATAGAACATAAAACTCATTTCTCATTCAGAAAATTTCGCATCAAATTTGAAAAACCAAATAGAAAATAGGGCATGAAACTCAATTTCATTTCCCATTCAGCAAAATTCAAAAAAATTCTTGTATATAAGAAACCGTAGAATAAACTAAATGTTGAGCTAATAATAAAATCAAATAAGTAAAATCTTGAAGGTTTTTATATCTAAGTAGGTACTTGATATTCTTGATCGATTTAACCCTACTCCTTCCACTTTTCAATCTCATTGTTAACCCTACTTGAACCCTCCCTGAACATATGGTTTAAAGATTTTTTTAAATGAGCAACGCTCTGGATGATCACGGATTAACCCTAGCAGAATCATGGCCAGATGTTGGTATTTTGGTAGCAAAGATGACCAGGGTTAAAGCCGAGTTTTGCCCTTTTTTGACAGGACCACAAGAACATTAATTGGTGTTCAAATAGGAGATGTAGATTGTATCCCATTTTAAAGGCATTACATCAAGCTGAGCACAAATATTGAAAATGGCAAAATTAAGGAAAAAGATTAATTATCATAAAGTACTTCAGTATGAGATGTGAACTCTCTGAAAGGGATGATGATTGCTTAGTTGACATATAATTACCAAAATATAAATTATTAGCTATGTAGACTCTCTGAAAGGGTTGCCAAAGTAACTTAATTGACTATGTTTCAAATATTGATTTTGAAGAGTCAGATCTATATACCAAAAAATGTGGACGCTTCGAAAGGGATTTCTCCCTTTAGCGACAAACGCAAGAGTAATTAGCATATTATTACCATTTTCAAAATGATCAATATCTTACTTCAAAATTATTTTTTTTAATTCGAAGTTATAATCCAGCTTATATCTAAAAAATAATCGAATTGATCTCTCCAATGGGCGCCAGTAAACTGTAAAAGGCTAAGCAGGATCATAATTATAGGATCAATGTGCTTTTTATTATTACAGATTTAGAAAGGGGCACAGTTGGAAAATTAAAAGATAAAATATAAGCGGTTAAATGATAATTATAAGATCAAAGATTACATTAATACATATAATAGACTTAGGTTTGCCATCGGGAAAAAAGCACAGCATGAAAATCAAAAGATCAAGTTTAAAAAATTAACTGAGATTTTAATTGATAAAAATCCGTACAAGCAAGATAATTTCGTTAATCAAAATTTCGTTCAACGTATAGCAAAATCGAGAGTAAATGTTGTATAGATTTATAACACTGCTTGAGATATCAACAATCCATGATGGATTATTGCCCTTGTTTGAAGTTTTTAAGCAGACAGAATTATTGACATACTGGGCAATTATAGAATTATAACACTGCCTTGGATATCAGAAATTGATGCTGAGTTATTGCCCTTGTTTTGAAATTCCAAAAGAAGACAGAAATATTGACATATTGGGCAATTATAGAATTATAACACGATCAGGTTCTCCTTGAAGTCAAGTATGGATTATCGCCCTTGTCAGACTTGTGTCAATAAAACAGTCTACTCAATTAATCACTAGCGACAATCCAGCTTAATCCGGGGTTTATCTGTCCTCTGATCTTCTGCCTTCTCCCTCACCTTTACCTCATTAACAATGTTTATAGATTAATTAATCGTTGGAGTAATTATCTAAGTTGGAAAGGGATAGGGGTATAATAACCCAGAAATGCGATCAGAGTTTCATTTTCATTTCATATCTCACAAGAGAAACATCTTGACTTCATATCATACCATCAATTATAGCTTTACAGACTCAACCAAATTCTAACATCAGGTAAGGTATAGAATACAATATAGTAGGACGTAAGATTGTCCGTTAGCGTTACGGTCTTGGATATTGGGTTACGACATCGGAGTTTGCATATTGTAAATTTTTGAAACGTCGCCTATGAATAAATACATCTTCACAATGTCAAGCTATTACGAACTTCGCCTGGCATTATGCAGATGAACTAAGGACCACATAACAATATTACGTACCGTATGATAGTAGAGAAATGTGGAAGTCTTTATGCTTGTAGTGTCAGTACTACCTCTCTGCGATTGAGCATTTCATCGAATCGTCATTTCCACAGACTATATTCGTCTGATTTTATCGCAGCATCAAAGTCATTCCATATCTTATTATTTCAATCTTTTTATTTCAGAAAACATCATGATTCGGTGGATCAAAAAGAAATGCAACCGTACTCCCAGAAAGATGGATGCCTTGGAGTCATTGTCGACTCTCAGAGCATCTGACTTGACGACAGAGAACGAGTACCATATTTACGAAGAAATTCCAGAATACGGTATGGGCATCCCCACTCCAATAGCAGAAGACATAGCTACAGATTGTCCCGTGTGTAGATACAGCCCACAAGACGATATCCCTTGCGTTTGCCAGGATTCCAAAGTGGCTCGTTCCAATCCGAAGACGAGCTCAAGCAATGCCAGACAATCTCTGTCTCTGGAAGTATCATCAAAGAAAGGTTTCCAAAATGGAAACCGAAAGTACAATCATGCTAATCGCCCCCTACCGGAAATTCCTATTGAATTGTCGACGACGTCTTGTAACAAAAGCAATTTCAGAAATTCTGCTGATCTTTGTTCTCGCAACTCGAACAGTTTGTCATCTTTAGATTTAGAAATTGATGATGAAATATCGAGTCTGGATAATCTTTATATGAATGTGCCAGAAAACTTTGGGAGTATGTACTTGAGCTTGGAAGCGAATAAAAGACACTCTATGATCTCCACTGATTCTGGATTCGGCGAAGAACACAGCTTTAGTGGGAGATCGTCGGTTTTATCATCTCGCAGCTCCCTATCAAGTGAACAGGACTTTTGTTTCGAAGGAGTGATCTATGAAAATGTATTATAAGACCACGTACTGAACTGTAAGGTGGTTGATTCCAAACACCCACGACCACATGTGCTACCGGATGAACACGTTAACGATTCCACGGTGGTTGGAAATCGAAAACGAATATACGCTTAAGTCCTGGTAAAATGATAAGATAGCGCAAAGCATGCCCAATCGAGGCTAGAAAGGCCCCCATTTCCTTCTCGAGCTGGTTGATAGATATTTGTGAACGGCAATATTATTCCCCTTATTCGAAGTGCTATTTAAAATTGTTGATCATCTTATTGTAGAGATTGTTTTATTTGTTAATGAATAAATTTGTTATTTAAGTATTTTTTGTATGTATTTGACACCAGAAACCGCTATGGTTTAATATTAAAGCAGTTGGATATGACAGTAAGTTGTTCAAATCCTTCCTGTTTCACAGATACAGGAGGCTGGGGTTATTCTCTTTTCGAAAAGCATTCGGAATAATTTAATACGATAAGGTGCAACTCATTTCAATTAATTTCAGATCTCAACTATTTTTCGGTTGTGGATGCAAAATACGGCTTCAACTCAAAAGGTTAATTTTATTTAATTTAGATCTTTTAGAAACAGAGTTCTCATAGCTTTAATTTGAGGTAAGGGTGCAGGTAGGATAGAGCAGGAGGGGGGATGCTCGCTACATGCCAGAAAAGAAATGACAACTCATGCAATTAATCTTTAATCGTACAACTTAGATAATTACTCCAACGATTAATTAATCTATAAACATTGTTAATGAGGTGAGGGAGAAGATCAGAGGACAGATAAACCCTGGATTAACCTGAATTATCGCTAGGGATTAATTGAGTAGACTGTTTTATTGACACAAGACTAACAAGGGATATAATCCATACTTGACTTCAAGGAGAACCTGAGCGTGTTATAATTCTATAATTGCCCAATATGTCAATATTTCTGTCCTCTTTTAGAGTTTTGAAACAAGGGCAATAACTCAGCATTAATTTCTGATATCCAAGGCAGTGTTATAATTCTATAATTGCCCAGTGTCTCAATATTTATGTCTGCTTAAAAATTTTAAAACAAGGGGAATAACTCATACTTGACTTTACATCATTATGTAACTTTATTTTCGATATTTCTGTACGTTTTAATATCAAGGGGAATAACTCATCCTTAAAATTTGCTATAATTCGTAGATTAGTTTTTCAATTTCAACCAAAATCGTTAAAATGTTTACCTTGTAACTAGTTTTGTTGTTTTAAAATTAACGACCAGATACTTTAAATAACAACTTTCAGATAAATTAATGGACATATTTCTTTAGATTTTGGTGTATAGTTTTTATAAATTTGAGACAAAAAAAAGTTTTTTATCGACCTACATAAAAAGCTCAATTCCCCTTTAAGTTTGATCTAGACGCGAAATTCCACCGACTGAAGAAGACAAATTAGTCTTATAACACCTTTATGAAAATATTCAACAATTAAAAAATCTTCAAGACAAACAAATCCAAACATTGAATTTATGGATCAAGTCGGCATAGGTATAAGGCAATCACTACATAAATGTTTTCGCACTTACTGTTGCCTATTTTGCTAATAAACAATATTGGATTAATTGTTGACTTTTCTGCTTTATTTTATCTTAACTCTTTTCTGTTTAAGAATAAACAATAACAAGTTCAGAGCTCTGTTGATATTAACATCGGTAGATCTGAGGACGGTTTTTAAATAGATAGGTGCGAGGAACGACTTAAGCGACTTATAAGCTCACTATATATGATGTGATTCTTAATCAAAAATAAATTGTTGCAAATACATTTAGCTTTGATTTCTCCGTCAGATCACGCGAGGAAAATGCTCCAATTTCCTTGATTTATTTATTTCATGATGATATGAGAGGGGGAAATAAAGGGAGGTAATTTTTTCTAAAAGAGGGGAGATAATCCTCATTAACAATCACCTTAGATTGGGTCCCACATTTGATTTATTGATATTTATAAATACAATTAAGACCGATAGTTGTTCAATACATTTTTTACAAAAAATGTCCAGGGAAAATGAGATAGTCGATATAGCATACCTATCCAAATCACAATCTATAATCTACATGCAAACAAAACAGATAAAGTCCAAATCGCAAGCATTCCATTCAAATTACCATCCATAAGACCTTGACAAAATCAATGTGATAGACATGAGTCCAATAGCCATCTTGGATCATGCAAAGCCTGGTGTTCGTGGAAAGAATGCCGCTTCCTGACTTCAGAGATCGCAGTACAAACGTTTAAAATCGTGTTCTTCCATAATAAAATATAACAAATAACAAAATACGTTATGTGGACAGCTCATTAACCAATTGCAGATTGACAGTAGATGTTTCAAACTTGCATAACTTGCGTCGGAAGGGACACCCGCTACATTAATTATACCACCTGTTTTGCCTGGAATTTCAAAGCACATCTGCCTTAATCGTAGAATTTTACAATGTTAAGCTTAGAGAAGTATTAAACTTTAGGTTTTTTTTCGAATAGTACAGCTCTATCAGTCTAAAAATCTCAAATTTGCAAAGATAAAAATATAAAATTTTACTGTATTGTGATAACGTAACGTGATTGTTCCAATGACGTCATTTTCATTGTCATCACTGATTGTTCTAAGTTTCAACTAGAAACAGCGCAATTAGCACTTTCTACTGAATTTTACAAAATTTTCACAAATTTCTGGATTTTTTTCAAGAATTGTGTGCTAAAAAGGTGAGTGTTTATCGTATTTTTCTTTGTGTCTAGGTTTTGGCAAAAAATTCAAATTCTAAGGTAAAATTTATAAGTTTTTCTTGACAAAAGTATGACAACTTTGAAAAATTCCTATCAAAAGAGCCTTAATGTGTTTTGAGTCTGAGTCTGCTCTGACAGGACAATGAACAGTATAAAAATAACATGTTGTTTATCTTTCAGGAAATATGACAACTATTGATTCTGGAAAGCCACCTCTGCCTAGGGTTGCTCTAGGAGTTACTCTCAGAAAAAGTCAAGGGGAAACCGAGGAAGACTTCGAGAGAAGAACTCAAAAGTTGAACGAGTTTAGAGATTATAAAAGAAGGAACTTCCCACAAGAAAATCTGGTTCTCCCTGAGAAACCATTACTAACTAACAGCTACCATCAACGTCGTCAGTCACGACCGAAAACGATTCTTACCAATGGATCGTTACGATCATGTGTTGCACTTATGGATGCTGCTACGGCCACTAAAATCATGCCAGTACCTTCAGGAGTGACGGGAAAGGATACTGATGCGTCTGAAAGCATTGTAGGTCGATCAGTTACTGGTGCGTCTACATCTACGACTACTGCTGCGTCAACCAGTCCCGCCCTTTCTTTTGAACAAGAGGATAAAGAACTACAGAAGAAACTGGAAGAAAGATAGTGATAGATATGTCTGTGTATGTGATTCCGAGGGGAATATTAGATTTATCTAAGTATTTCATCCAGGCGGATATCAACTCTGATCACCAGGTCACCAAGAAGATGGCAGGTGAAATCCTCAAAGATCTTTTCGACAATTTGGGTTTTGGTGAAGAAAATGGAAACCAGGATTGCCAGAATAATTCTTCTGAAAAAGGTTCGTTTAAAAAAATAGCGTTTGAGCCCCACTGCAATTAATATCGTAGTAGGAAGCGATAATGAAGTATGTCATGGAGATCTATCTCCAAAACTCATTCTGCGATCACAGTTATAACTGCATGTAGCGGGTGACCCTAATGAAGTAGGAATTGATTCTCATGCTTCTACAATTTCCTGCTATTTTCAAAGATAAGTGTAGGCGAAGGGAAGTGTATTTGGACTGTGTTTACTACAAATTCATTGTTTTTTTCTTTTTGTGTTTCAGAAATTAAAGTCACCAGTTTCCAGAGATTCGGAAGAAGTTTAAAGTCCCTGAAGACAAGAATCGTACGTCGTTTGAGACCATTAACTTCTTGTTGTAGTTCCAAAACCACCTATACTACAGACTAATTCATTGACCCCGAGGTCAGAGTTGAGGATAAGATAGATCATTTGTCAGAGTTCGGAGTTGAGAAAAGGATCGACCCAGAGAGCAGAGCCTCGCGATTTAATGGACCGATAACGGCGACGCATTTTATTAGAATTATTTATGAAATGACATATTTATATAAATTATGCTATTTATATTTTAGATAAATATTTTTATTTAAGAGTCCTTCGTGTTTTATTTCTTAGTAAAAATGATAAGAGACTTGACGAATATAACGACTGTGGTCTGGTTTAAAACCCATTTATGTACAGTTATGTACCTTTTCCCATCTGTTCCAAAAGCATGGCGGATCATATTTAACTTATTGTAGCAAAAGATTTCGACAACCCAAAAAAGATATCAGATTCCGGAACTGCCAAACAAGCATCGTGTTGATTTACTTGTGCAGCAGGAACTAGAAAATGTATGATGTCCGAATATCGATATAGTAGAATATAGAGGTAGCCACTACACGAGATGTCTGAACACGATGTAAACACGATTTCCTTCTTCTACCGTCAATGGTATCAAATTTGCAACACATCGGACACCGTATGTTACTTCTTCGTACCTTAAGTTGCTCTCGCTTCATAGCGATCATCAATTGCGTATGATTGCGAACAGGCATCGCAATCATAAGTTTGGAACTCTCATGCAATTGAGTTGTGAGTTGCGTTCGGAACTCATTGCCATTTTCGTTATTCGAACCATACGCAACTGGTAATGGCATTGCTGTAAGAGCACCTTTAACAACGAACCAAAACGCTACCTGGATTACAATTAGTGTTACACAAACAGATAGTTAAGGGTGTCAAAATCAGCAATGGATGTAATAACGAACAATTTCACAAATTTTATTTTGACACCTTTCATGTATATAGTAACTAATGATTGTTTTTATAAGATATTTGTTTATTCAGGGCAGGTAATGGAACATCAAAGACACCGCTAATTAGTTGATTTAATTACAGTTTCCGTAAAATAAACAAATAAACAATTTTGTGGCTGAATGAACAATGATATATTTGAATTAAATAAACAGAGTTTTACGTCTTACTGTTCTGTTCCAAATTGGGCTAATGATGACGGTTAAAATAAAACGTAGAGAGATTTAACCTGAAATATAAATGAAATCGAATCTTTTCGCAGATCTTACATGCGGAATATGTAGAATAAAATAGTCCTGCAATACAGTGGCATTTATACACGATCTATATCAGCAAAGCATCTCATATCTATATCTTGTGCTATTGTATCTCAGGCAAATTCATATAATTATTTATCTCATTAGCTCTGCTAGTGTTTGCCTTAATATGATTGAGATTCCCCGGAGTGAAAGATTTCTTGGCCTTTGAAATCTAATTACGATGAGGATCTCAAATGCTAAAAGCTCCTATACTCTGCAAAACATATCACATGGGCGTTATGTCGTTGGTAAGGGAAAAATAATTTGAAAATATAATCATTGGCCCTCATGTGAAATGCAACTGTCTTTATAATCTGCATAAAGCTCGGTTGTCAAGAATCATTGACGAAAGGTGATCTTTTAAAGATTTAAATTAAGGAGCTAAATGTAAGTTCTCTCAAAAAATCTTTGGCATAAGGTGATCTAAGCTTTGGGTTTATGCCCAAGGAACAATCGGGCATACGAAAAATAACCTGTGAACGCTGTTTGCCTTTGAAAGTATAATAGGATTAGGATCGAGATGCTATAAGTGAACGTCTATACGATTAAACCCTTTGCCTTTAAAAAAAAAATGTCTGTGATACGATTGAAATCTGGATACTAAGTGAACGGTTAAACTCTTTTCTTCCATAATATCCTTGCATTTAGGTGATGCAAGCTTTGGGTTTATGCCTGAGGGTAGATCAGACATACAAGAAACATAATCTTATTAGAATCTAAAGACTAAGTGCAGGGCGAGTTCAAGACTAAAACCTTTCCTAAGAATCTTTGAATTTAGGTGATCTAAGCTTTGGGTTTATGGTTATGGGACGGTCGATGATATGAAAAAAACATAATCCATGACACCTTCAAACAATAGACCCCTTATAAAAACCTTAAGGACATTAATTTAGAATATAAAAAACGTACGTTATCGCTGCGTCTACAGACAAGATTACGGTATAATACGTTGTTTGTACGGCCGTAAGATTAGCTAATCAAAGAGACCGCATGTCATGTAAACGTCTACTCTGTTTTCCAATAAAATATAATCAGCCCTAATCCACCATAAATCTTTTAAAATCGTTTTTTCTGAAAGTTGATGTCGCAATTCGCCCTGGAGTAATGCTCGCTATTGATCTCTTATTTAACCCTACAGATATCTGAGAACCGTTAGTTTCAATCTTAACCCTGTACAGTTCACTTCGATAATTATTTGGCTATCATTTTTTATTTTTTTGGAAGTAATTTGACTTTTAAGGTAAATATCTTTAATGCCTTCATCATGAAAATTATGTATTTGATAATTTAATGTAAATTTATGCAATACGCACTCTCGGCATAATTCAATACCGTATATTTTCTTATATAGTGCGCAGTTTGTTTAATGACATTTAAGCTGAAAGATGACAAAATCCTATCAATATACCTATGCATTTACTTGTACTGGATTTTCGTTTCTTGCTTATGAATTTTGTTTTAGTTTTTTTAGGGATAGCTTAGGTATTTTGCATAATTAGATTTTTTTTATATATTCGTCAACGAACTTGTTATCAAATAAGATTTATTATAGTTTCAAATGCACGGAATTAAAATGGTGTTTCTATTTATATTGCAGAACCACCATGTTTCGTTGGATTAAAAAGAAATGCCAGAGAAAAAAGATCGAGTTGTTTAGACCAGAACAACTGGTACACATCCAGGAAGCAGAGTACCACATTTATGAAGAGATCATAGACCTGGATTTTATGAAGGAAGCACCTGCAATTCCAGCTCATTGTCAGTGTTGGTTACAGAGAGATATTGGACAATCTTACACATGCGTGTGCAAACGCAGGTGCACAGAACCTAGTGCTAATGTCAAACGATCAAAGTCTGTCTCGAATGCCGATTCTAGAAAATTCAGAATAGATATCAGCAAAAGACCATTGCCAAAATTACCTACAGAGTCGGATATATGCTGCGAATCCCAGGAAGATGCTGGTAGCGATGCAAGCAGTGGATATTATTCAAACAGTGTGTCCTCATTAACTCTTGAATACGACTTTGATATGTTGGAGAAACTAGAAGATCTTTACTTGGACGATTCAGTGCTGAATTCCATGTGTCAGAAATATTCTATTAATAGTAACACTTACTTACCACCAAAAAGTTCAACACCGAAGCCAGAGTTCAATACATTACCCAGAACCGGATTATCACTCTCGCCTATTGACAATTCGTTCGTACGAAATACAAGAAATGTCGATAATTCGTTAGAGCGAAATAATAGATGTGATCATTCATTAAATAACAATTCGCTACTACGAAATAGCAGATCATTAAGCTCAAATACAAACAATTCTGTGGTAGGGAATAGGATAAATACACACCCAACAAATGCAAATTCGTTAGTACGAAGTAACCGAACTATCACCATCAACCAAAAATTTGAACCCTGTGAAACTGGAACTATTATATGGAGCAGTGAAAGCATTTATTTGTAAACCATTAAGTTCTTTAGCATCCAAAAGTGCGCAATCGTTGCATTCTGTTGTTGATTTTAATTCAAAATAAAATCATTTTCCCAATTTATCTCTTTGATTGTATTCGAAAAAAAGAGGGGGGGGGAGCGTTAAGGAATAACCTGGAGTTTTACGCTCTATTTTCACTCTTATTATACGACTGAAAAGGGCAATTATCAGTCGACAATAAGGGGGTTTTGCAAGGATAGCTGCTTAAGTCTACTCTGTTTTCGATTTCTAAATGTCGAGGAGTCCTTAACGTGTACAAACTCTGGCACATGGGGAAGATTTTGTACAATAGAATTCAACCAATTTTGATGAATAAATTTTAATATTTTGTACAATTTATAAGAAACAAAAAGAAAATATAAACAACAACTGGAATTACAGAGTTTGGAGGGTCGCAAAAATACAAATGTACTGAGGTTTTATTTCTAATTTGGCCGAGAATAAGAACAGAATAAGTCTTTTAGGTATTGGAGATCCATGTCACAGAATATAGCTGCATCGCAACAATGGTATTTGAGACCCATATAAAGAATGCGTACATTTGAATAAGTATTTTGAGCTCTATACCATATTAGCATATAGGAAGGGGGATCACTCTCCAATGTGACCGAATGTGTACATGGACTCACTCCACTAAAACATTTTATGCAAATGATTGTATAGGAATGTAGTCCAGGCTATTTTTAGAAATCTTCTTTCTCTCTCCCTTTTGGGGTTTTTGCCTGCCTATTTTTGGGTAAAATTTGGTCTAGATTTGGAATTTGATGTCTGAAATTGCATTATCTTTCAGATTTGGTGAGATGATGAGAGACTTAAAGGCGGAAGGCTAATTCTAAAAATAGTCGTTTTGTGAAGTGCCAAACTCTAGCGGATGAGTATAACCGGTAGTAGTCTACTTTCAATTTTAGTAGCTCAAAATTTTCATGGTCATCATATAATGAATTTTTTAGGAGACATTGAGAATTGGTCAGGCTTTCATTCGACATATTGGAAAGCTTTCAACGAGATTTCTGGAAAAAGTTATAGAAGGTTGAATTTCGTGTTTTAACATGGGAAGAGATGGCAAATGAATTAGTGGAGTGAGTCCACATTTGGCTTCATGTAATTATTTTGAGTCCTACCGCATATCAACAGAACACTGTCGAAAATATAGAGAAAGTCTGGGATCCCAGTAGAGGGATTCAATTAATCTGCGAAACGTGTACATTAAAATTGACATTTTGAGCTCTACGCCATACTGACAGAATATGGAGGGGGATTCATGTTTTCTGAATAATATGGTGGCATCATAGAATTCGATGGAAGGCTCTCTGACGAACCATACACAGACCATCCTCCTGGTGCATCCGCTACACTGAGGTCAACAAATAGATCAACTACTTCCTCTTCCGGTTTAACATCACCACTTGCGCCACCTGGCTGTTTTACTTCCGGTTTCTTTTCTTCTTCGATTTCATCTGAGAAAACGACTTTACCGTTACATTTTGTTTTGACTTCATCAGGGACTACATCGATCTTCGTTTCGTTTTTCGTAGTATCTTCTGTCTTTTCCTTTAGCTTGGGATTTTCTTTCGGCTTTGCGTCATTTTCGTTTTCTTTTTCCTTCGATTTGTCCTTCGATTTGTCCTCATCTTTGTCCTTATCTTTGTCTTTGTCCTTATCTTTATCTTTATCTTTGTCGTCACTTCCTTCGCCATCCCCAGCGTCTTCCTCCTCCTCGGGTAGGTCTCTAGTAAATATGATATCGGTGCATGGCCAATGTTGTTTGTAATCAGTGATAATTTCATCAATTTGTCCCTTAAAACTGATAGTTTTTAAACTTAATTTCACAGATTTTGACGATAGCACGTTTTTAAGTAACATTGGTACGAAACCCCCCGCCATAGTCGCTAGAGTCTGATTGGTCGAGGACATTTGATGGACGTTTCCAAATGCCATGACAACGATCATAACAAACAACAGAAACACAACAATAATGAGGAATTTCCCAGTGGCTCGTAATAGATTGATATACACAGGGCCCGGAGCACCGTGCACTCTGACCTCACACAACTTCTTAAACAAACGTAATGGAATTCGCGGGGTATCGTGAGAATCTAAAAATAGTAACAATTGTCCGATTTTCCATCGGATTTCCCCCTTTCCGAAATCCAACCTTGTCTTAACTGGCGGATCCTCGGCCATTGTTTTCACCTGGAATCCAGCGTTTTCCTGCATACTTGAAGGTAGACTTGCAATTTTTCTCAAATCGTCCACCCTGTCGATCATGTCCTCGATGATAGTTTTATTAAACTGTAAGTAGTTTTCGTACACGTTGTTATAACAGTCGTGCATGTAAACGAACACAAGTAACACCATCGTTACGTACTTCAGCGTACTACTTGCGTTCACGATTATACCCATCATAGTAAACGCAAGAACTTCTACCAATAGTCCGAACGATTCAGCGAATATGAGAGCTATAGCGTACAGAACACACAGATTAAAAATTCCCACAATGCATTGTAAGAATATAGTTTTGACAGTGTAAAAGACGCTGAACCCGCCTGACGAGGGGCAGCAATTTTCCTCCTCGCTATCTTGGATGTTATGCACTGCTGTGTCAATACGCGAGAGCCGACGTTTTAATTTTCGCATTTTTTCAAACCGACGCTTCTGCTCTTCTTGAAGTGGTGTGTTTTCGCCGATTTGCTTCCAAGAATGGAATACGAGTCTGTACGAAAGGTAGATGGTTGGTATACAATACACAAGAAAGGTTATAGCACTAAATGGTAGGGTTATAGCAATATATAACGGTATTAACAATATAGCAATTAATCCACACTTCTTAAAGGGCCATAACCCAATTCTAAGAATCACTTGTATAACTCCGACTTGAGAAACGTTAGACATATCTTGTAGTGCCAATCTAGCGATGGATTTCAGTTTATCGCGCACCTGCTGTTCGGAAAATCCCAGTACTATTCCTGATAGAAAATACAAACAATACGCCGCTATGAAAATACCATGTGTAGGAGTAAAATACTGCATCGGATTCGTTCTATAGAAATTAAACTGTTCGTCCAGATTGGCTTCAGCTATGGCGGCTCGCCTTTGCATCATCTCTTGTTCTTCGAACTGATAATAAACAAACAGCCGACAATAGAACGGTAGAGGTACTAAAAACACCATTAGACATTTGATAAACCCTTGCATACACATATGCCACGTAAATTTATGATTGAAACTGTTTTCTAACGATGCATACACACTCAAATCACAACATTCGTTGAATGGTTCAAGACCTTTAATCTTACATCGCACTAGATTATCGTAAGCCGTCCGTAACAAACCGGTAGGTGGCTCATTTTCAGGAATAATCCGTTTTCCTTTCACAGTTATCCGAATTTCTTCCATTTTGATAGGAACGATTTCTTCAGTTGGTAGAGAATCGATCTCTTCACGAAATCGCCAAAATTTTGACACATCTTCTAACGTTATCCGTTTCTTAAAGCGCACGTGACAGTCTGTTTTCTCCGAAACTAAAATTTTCATTTTTACCGCCTTTTTCAACTTGACGACGTATTCAGACGCCACGTAGACGGCGCTGTACATATTGGTAGGTAGAAAGAGCGGGAAAAATAAAAACACCAACACTTTGACTAAAGTTATAGAAAAATACAAAATTGTAATCCATTTATCGTCTACTTGATCCAAACATACGATCTCATCGTCCACCAGTGAGCAACACGCATTCACAAATTCCGCAGCGCCATTGTTTTCGCGGATGACTTGATGACAAACGTAATCCCTATGATCTGTACCTGTCTTTATGATTTTTCCAACTTGGAAATTGTTCAATAGCATCTCGTTGATTAACGTCAACTGATCTACAGCCGTCAGATTTTTAAAACAACCGAGTGGTTGGTCTCGAAGTTCTATTGGCAGACGAACAACACCGATTTTCAAAATCGTCATAGAAAGAATGTCATAATGAAACGACAACATTAGCAACGTTCGGCCATGTTGCGATTTAGTCTTATACCACTGCCACGGTTTGTAAATATACCCAGAATTCAGTTGTAACGGTTCTGACGTATTAAACATGGAAAAATCAAATTCAAACAACGTCACTCCCATTTCAAACTCCATTTTCTTGATAGTTTCGTAAATTTCCGGCCTTGAGGAAAATATTTTGCATTTGCTATCCATAGAATTTAACAACGAATCCATGATTAGCCATCGTCCTTTCTTTTTAGGTACGGTTCCGGAGTAGGTAGTATCCCCGGATGTCCTTGCGAGACATGCGCAGATAAGAAACAGAAGGCAAAACATGCTCACATCCGCCATTTTGAATTCAATTCAGCTACTTCCTCAAAGAATGAAATTTGCTCCAACTATCGTTCATCTTGTAGCCTGAAAAATAAATAGAAGATTTCAATATTAATGTTGATGTTATTTTGAAATGAATGAAGAGGATTTTACGCCATATTGTATGTTTCTTGTAGGCTCATTTTGGTATATCATCAATCAGTAGAACTAAAACAGAGTTTCATTTTACTTTTGAATTAGGCTAAGTTTAAATAAACCTGCACACTTTTTGACATGTACTTTCAAATCAATTGTACATTCTAAAACCTGATCCACTGTCCAAACAATCGACTACTGTTTATTTTAAATATTGCTTGACGATCTATCTACATAATAAACTAAACTAAATAAACGAAACTAGATAAAGGAAATGATCTTACGCCTTTTCTTCACAATGTCAAACTATTACGAACTTTTCCTTATACCTTGACTTCCATAACTACCTTTCATGTATCATAAAGTACAGAGATTTGATAGGATTACAGCCAATCAGATCCCCCCACAGAAAGACTGTAAACGTTAACATTAAGGCTTTCTGTCGAGAACTCTGATTGGCCGTATTCACAAACGTATAATCCACCCAAATCACTGCATTTACAAACCTCTGTGATACAAGAAAGGTGGCTTATCAGTCAAGGTATAAGATGAAGTTCGTAATAGCTTTACATTGTTAAGATGTGGATATATCAGCTGCTCCTTGGTCAAAATCATTATCAATGGAATACGAAGCTAAATTCCGTTAAAATGCAGCTTAAAAGTTAAGAGACACGGTGGAATCCTGAATTGTCTTCTTGTGTCTTTGTTTTGGTTACAGTTTTATTTTTATTTCACAATACATCAATCTCTTAGGTATTATTGATTTTCTTTAAAGTGTTTTTATTTTTATTGACAATACATTCATTAGATGCTCGGGTAGGCTGCATGACCTTTGCATGTCGGTGCTTGTGGGTTCGATTTATAGAACCAGGACAAAGAACAATGGGCTTAAAAGGAAGCACATTCCATACTAATTGATTCTTGACAACGAACTTAACTCTTTGACTTTCAAGACTGTTTAAACTAGTATTTACATGTTTGATTTTGAAGCTGCTTTCGATTGCAGAATGTTTCAAAGACGATTAACATTGTCATATGGAACCAAACAGTCTACCATGAAAGTTCTGTTTGAGGTTTGCAACACATACTGCTTTACAGAAACTGCCGAGTATTGCCGAATTGAACAAGCAGCCTTTATGTTTCTTATGCACAACACGATCTTTGAGTGTCAGCTTCTATGAATGATTAAACAATTATTCGGAATTCTATTCTATTTCCATGTAAACGATACCGGAAATAACATTATGCATCATTTTAATCCGGTCAAAAAAATTAATGTACTTCCGGTTGCCTTAACTTTGAATTAAAGCCATCTCGGTCATGTTTACAAAGTTTTGAATGAAACTAGGAGCATGTCTACAAAATGCCCGAGGGGAGGGGTCAGAATGAAAGCTCTTTGAGGTCAGGGGTTGGAGGCTGCTAGAGGTCTACAAAGCGGATTTCAGATGGCTTGAGATGAGTTTTGAGCATTTATAGGGCTTAATGTTCACACCAAAATAAGACTTATTACAGGCTCGAAGGGGAGACCATTGTCAATTGCTTTCTTACGCCTGTGTAATACTGTGAACTGTTTTTGTGATCTCAATAAAAAGACGATAAAACAGTATGGTTATTTGTACAGACCCCGAAATAAAACATTAATAGTTTCTGCCCTACAGTTAGATTATTTATGGTCAATTGGTGATTTACGACCATGTGTATATTTTCGAACCTAAACGGTCATTTTTAAACACCTACAATTACTCACGTCTCAAATAGTATCTTTGTGATATATATATATATGTTATTGACCAGGGCAATGGTTAAAACATAAGCTATGCGGACAATCTAAACGGGAATGCCCTGTTGACAAACGTTTATACCAAATAAACATTACTAGTTTTGTGGACTTTTTACTGGGATGCCGAGTTGATACTATTAGCTATGTGGACTCTCAGAAAGGGGTGCCGAGCTGGTCTAGCTTAATTCCATATACTAAATTACCGTTATTGGCTATGTGAACTATCTAAAAGTGATACTGAGTTAACAAACCTGAATACCAGATACACGGAGTATAAAAAATGGATTCGATAATAAAACATTTTGCTCAATGAATTATATCTACTATTATTAGCTATGTGGACTCTCCGAAAGTGATGCCATGTTGATAAACCCAAATACCAAATATAATTAGATATGCGAATGGTAAAGAAATGGAAGCCGAGTTAACTGTCTCAGTCGAAGAGTGGTGTTAACATGTCAGTCACAAAATAAGGTTTACTGAACCCCAATGTTTTTTCATAGTTCAAATTCTATCACGATAACCAAAAACTGTTCAAAATATATGAAAGAAATCACCCTACCGTTTTCTCTATTAATCCTATGATAACATAGTCTATCTTTATTTAGCATGTCAATCACTGATTATAAAAATATTGAAGGCAATTTTACCTCCAGTTATTTTAAAGAATGGAGACCTATTGTTCACAATTTTAATTTGGTTTAGTTTGGTATGTACATATTCACAATGTCAAGTTATTTTATGCCTACTTATATCTTGACTGCAATAGCCACTATTCTTGTATCAATGGGATTGTACGCATGCGAATATAGCCAATCAGAACCCTCGACAGAAAGGCTGTAAAAATATTGCCTTAATGGTCGCAAACTTTCTGTCGAGGTCTCTGATTGGCTGTATTTGTACAATCCAATCAAATCGCTTCATTTTCAAACTTCCGTGATACAAGAAAGGTTACTATTTCAGCCAAGGTGAAGATGTGGTTGTATTGATTTCCGCTGTTTGTGAACTGGAAGAATTATTGCCAAATGGCTTGGTCATGGACACCAAAAGGAAATTAAGCCAATGTTAAACGAATTTCTGGCACATCAGGGAAATTAGAGTTACGTCCCTTTTGGATTGGGACACACATTCGTGATGATCATGATGTATTCCTTTTAAAAAAAAAAGGGTAAGACGAAAGTGTTCAAAGGTAAATCACAAGAGATCTCAACAAGGGATCTAAATATCGATTAAGATGTGAGATATTGATCTTATGTTTTATTGTCAGGTCGATCCAGTTGAATGAACACTCTACACGATATGATTGAATGAACTCTACCGACCGTTATATTTAATAATTCACGAAGTAAAGAGTAAGTAGTGTCTATATACTTTAAGTGATCGATGTAGTCGGACGAAGGCGGCTTGTTTGCACTATGCACCAGTTTCAGTATAACGCACCCAAGGGAGAGAACCCTTTGCACTGGCACTGTCAGAAACATACAGACTGCGTAAGACAAACTCGTCTCCGTCTGCTACCTTGACATCATAAGGCACTTTTTTGCATCACGAAAGTTTGTAAATGCAGCGATTTGATTGGATTGTGATTGGATTGTGATTTGATATGAAAAGTGAAAATGTTCTAAAATAGCCTTTAACATCCAGCCCCTCTTTGTCGTACACAGGTATAGTCTGGGAGTCAAAGACTAGTTCAGAAACTGACCATAGCCGATCGTCACCAGAACCTTAGTGATGTCTTTTCAACGAACTGTTTACATAAAAGAAGGTTAGCAAAGGTTCCTATCGATACTGTCTACAAGCTAGTTATTGACCTATAGTTATAACATTGATCCTTCCATGGTTATTCGTACCCATTAACAGCTGGGTCGACTGGAATAATGAAGGGAGATAACTTATTCAGTACGTATAAGTACGAAGTTCATAATAGCTTGACAATATGAAGATTGTATTTCCCTATTCAAAGGATACCATGCGCAACCCTCGAAATATGTACTCATGTGAACTGTCTAATCTAGTTATTGATAAGAGTTCGTGGTTTCGATGGCGATGACGAAGTATATGCTAGCAAAAAATCTAAAAGAATTGTGTTTAGGTCCTAAAAGATTGCCTTCTTATTTTCACCTCAATTTAGTCACCCGTAACCTTTATAAAAATAGGTAAAGTTGTGCATCGACCTTCCAACATGTAAGTCAGAGATAACAAGAGCGTATAGAAAATATTAACAAAATGCAGTGTGAATGAAATAATTGGAGGTATTCTTGCGATAAATTGAGTAATATCAAAGTATTAAAGGTGTCATTGTGGAGTTTTAAAGAATTCAATCAACCCTTTATTTAGGCCCCCTATAACGTTTAGGTAAAAAACAATTCAACCCAGCGTCAAATTTCAATTTTTTACTGTATCTTAGTAATTTCCTAGAGTATAAAAATTCATCATAGCCTCGAATTTCTGCCTACAATTGTACTGTTGTAATTTATGGTATGAAACTTTTTACAAGTGTGTATAGTTCGCGATAATACAAGGTCTTATTTCTAATTCGTTGAGACAATGTCTACTCTTTTTCGATTCCAAATGTTCAATGGCGTTACCAGCCCTTCTAGACTCGCGTACAGTTAGGAGACAGACTGACTAAATGCAGATACAACTGTCAAGGTTGAAATAACAAAAACAACTGTCGACGAATCTTTAAATAGCCTGTAGCACATGGGGCCTCGGTTTATTGTCCCACTGTCTTCAACAGTTTGAATACTAAATTGTAACATAGTATCGTCAATGTCAACAGAAGATTAACGATTTAAAACACAAATTCCACAATAAAAACCAACATTCTAAAACTACACAAAATACCTAATTGACCGTTTTATTTCCAACAAAGAATCTATTTAGAACCTCGTTAAATCAAAGGCGTTTTACTTTATTAACTCCAGTCACGAAGGTACGTAAGCTACGACCACACTGTCCTGAATCGAACTGAATAGAGCTTCAATAGCCTTTACCTATAGCTGTTCATATCACTTTTTAGAGTAAAAAGTCCACACCTAGTTAATATACAATTTATAAGTCTTAATAATGTATATGATTGCATTTGGTGATAATAATATAG